TGAGATAATACGCTTCAATCGAGTAACTGTACCGTAACAGCAACTTGAACAAAGTTTCTGCTTGAAGAATATCGGTGAAATCTATAGGGGTCTCGAACGAGGAACCACGCTTCAGGATATTTGAGAGATTTGATGATACACAGGTATCAAATGATTTATCGACCTATTGTTTTTTTTTCAGGGAAATGTCAGCAGCCGATCTGTTCAGACATGATCGAGCTGATTCACAACGCGTACGCGTCTGCAGCTGCCTTGGTGATCGGTGAGTAATCAAACAAATAATAAACTACTTGAAAAACACCTTCAACAAAATCCTGAGAGGTTTCACGAGTGGGGCAGTGATAAAGGGGCGGCTGTCGCATGCTCACGACCAAATTTCGATCACTGGGCTGTCGATCTGGTTTTTTAATCTCTATGGAGTTTCTATGAATGATCATAGAAAAGCTAGGAATCGAAATTTTTCTGATAGGAAACCTGTACAAGCCTGAAAGCCATACAATCGAATCAGAGATCTTTCTTGAGACTGAAACCCATGGTGCACTCCAAAGATGAAACCTCTGACAATTTTTCCATCAGCTTGAAGTTAAATATAAATGAATTTCAACTAGTCAGTCGGCTAGTTTGACTCATGCCTATAACCCATTTGATCGTGTTGGAGTGGGAGTGCGCCATGCGCCGTCCTCCTTCTGAAAACATCAATTGATAATTTACTGCTATTATTGTGAAAGGAAACGGCTGTTGAATCGTCCAACATATAAAGTTCAAATGACCACAGGATAGGATCAAACTAAAAATTGCGCACATTTGTAGTTGCGCCGCTAGCCATTGCATTAGGTATCCAAAGCATTTGTTGAGATGATTGACCATGTGTTTTCAGCTGTAATGGTTCATTGTCTGGCAGTCGACAACCGGATACAGTGGTGCTACTTGTCTTGCTGCTCACCTGCCTGTTGATACGGTAGCTCCGAAAGGATCGATCGCACCGTACCTCAATCGATGCCTGTTGGCTATCCGAACCTTCGAATTTCTTGTAGTTTTTGAGTTGGGCGCTATGTCAAAACTGTCGGTTTTACTCAGGGTATCTCCAATGTATGGTTTTTTCATGTTTCTTCAAATCTGCGATTATTGATTTTTCTAAAAAATTGTTCCGCAAAATTGATGGTTTCACCATTCTGCCCGTGGTACGGTAATGCGCGTTTCTTTTCTTGCGTGGTACGGTAATGCGCGTTTCTTCCGAATTCCGGAATCAGATATGAAAAAAAGAGTCTGTCCTGGCATTCCTCAAAGACAGATGCAGGGACGGTGGTGTAAATTGCCATTGAGAGAGGAACCCATACCACTGCAAGCCTGCGCCTCTCATTGTTCAGTAAGCCTAGGTCTAGGTTAACATTTTTCCAAAATGTTCCGCACTGAAAAGTGCCTCGCAGTTGTTGCCACGTGCGGTCGCGTCGCGGTTATTCTGCTAATCTTGATGCCGCTCTACTTTCAAACGTGGCTTCCCATACGTATCTTGAGCTAAGAATGGAATCAATGCGTACAAACATCCGAAACTCAGAAAGATAGGGCTGCCAAATGCCAAGTGGTTACGGAAACCGCAGTGCGACCGCGCGCGTCACAACACCGGGAAATCACTGACAAACATCTCTGATATTTTGAGCAGATTCTGCATTTACAAGATTACCAGTTCTTTCTAGGGAACCCATTTATATAGACCTTGGAGACCACAATGTATGAATTTCATTCTCAACACTCACTCGTGACTCTCTATTCTTTCTCGCTCGCCTTGCTATTGATTAGATAGATTTATTGATTGATATTTTTATGATTTCACCTTTAGTTTATGCTCGCTGTGCTTTGTCGGGAAGCTGTACATAGTCTGTATCACGGCCTAGGGCTTTTATGCACCTTGACCGCTGCTGAAACTTGGCAGTCATCCAAATCGTCCGACCAAGGGTGAAATTTTGGCTTCTAGCCAAAACTTGTTACCCTACATATCGCTTCTACAAAAGATTTCTATGCCTCTTCGTTATCTTCTATTTATATTTGGCTATAAAGTTTCCGAGTTATTGTGTTACGTACCTGACAATCGATAATGGCGATCAATATCCATATGATGAACAGTGATATTTATGGACAAATAATGATATATTTATACAATTTTTATTTGTATTCATCTCAACAGCTAATCAATACAGATATGCAAATGTGTGCAGTAGCAGTATTGATACCAGAACACATACATAATATAGCAGAGAAAACACAAAAATCAATAACACTTATAATTTATACAGTACCCATGAATAAGTGATTGACGCGCAGAACGCACTCACACGCTCGGGCCACGCCCATTTATGGCAGTTGTCGTGTTTCGATGACATGATTGTAGGAGCGCTTTCTTCGTCTCAACAGCGGTGGCACATCTTTGAAGCACTCACATCCGGTACGTTTTCGATCCATTCCACGATCTCGTTGCGGGTAGCAAAAGCCGCCTTCGGAACCCTATAATAGCTCATTTATCCTGAATATGCAAACCTCGTTAGTCCCGCGCTTCTAGACAAGAAGTGTCCAAGTAGTCGAGCACGTTTCGAATAGCCTCAGTTCTTAGGAAAATGGCAAGAAAACTCGTCCAAATGCTACTTTTTGACCATAAAAGTCCACGGTAGACAAACAGAACTCGTCCATTTCCCAAACGAAAAAAATGTTCAGGCCCACACTCAGGAATGGCCTAGGTAAGGTTACAGCGCCTGGAGTTGAGGCGCGAAAGTAGATCACCACTGGAGAAAAAATGAGCAGAATGTCGCCATGAGCGCAAAAAACACATTTTTTGAGACTGAAGTGGACGAATCTGGGAACCCTAGGCGCCGAGGCAAGACACAGACAGGCCGTTACGCAGATAATGGAATGGAGCCTGCATGAGGGCTGCCACGCAAGCTTTCGCCAGCTGTTCGGGGAATCGCTGGCCGTCGATGAGCCTTGATCACGACGTTCTGTCTAATGCTTCAAAGTTCTGTGGGCGAGCAATCCAGGATTGGGGGCGCTTTGGTGTGGACTCGTAGTTTGGGGTTCAACGAGTATGACAGAATAGGAGGGGGGGGAGGTATGTTTCGCGAAGTCGGAAATGGGAAGCAGCTGCACCTAACGCGATCAGGCTTCTACGACGGATGAAATCCATCGACGCGTCGAGAACTTGGTTAGCTTTCAAAACCCTCCGATCCTTTGGAGTGTATCAGGAATAAAAACTCTTTGCAGAATATACAGTCGATATCCGAAAGTTGGGGTGGGTGTGTCACCGGAAGTGACGTGCACTTGATAGAAGTGCGTGGATAAGCTGTTGCCAGCATGCTTTGCTGATAGCCAGCGATGTATGTTGGAAGCAGCTTATCCACATAGTTTCTATCAAGTGCACGTCACTTCCGGTGACACGCCCACCCCAACTCACCGATATCGAGTATATTGCTCTCTTATTCCTTGTGTGACTACTCTTATAAAAAACGTTACAAACATCGGACAAAAGAACAAAGTCAGAGGGAAATTGCCGAACTCATAGCCGACTTAAAGATAGAATAAAAGGATGAAAAACTTTATAAGGAAGAATTTATGAACAACAGTGGCGATTAGACGGTATTTGCTGTAGGTCACGCATTCGATACGGGCTGCAGAAGTGTCGGTAGCACCGCCACACTTGTCTGTGATTGGCTGCACATTCATTGGTGATAGGCTCCGTCCTGAGCTGACCAATCACAGACGAGCAGGTGAGTTGGCAGCAACACCGCTGAACTTCATAACCCAGTGATGCTCGGGTCGTCTCATCTGAGAAAGGATAGAAGTTGATATGGAGCACGACAAGTGTGGGAGCGGGAGGTGGGGGGGGATCTATACGGCAAACTTTCTGCATCACTATTCTTGATCCTATGCCGAGCATTGTTTCGTGAAAGATAGCCAAATAATGAATCATGTTCGGAATTTCGCTGAACATTTGACGTTACAGCAGCTTTTAGAGAAGTTGTGAGCTGCGTCAAATATTGCTGAATGAGCGATCTGGATCTTTTTCCTCCTGCCCTACCTATGTGTAGCACGGCACGCTTTCTTTCCGTCCCTTGTTCCCGTTGGGTATTCCCAAGAGGCCCGCCGCGCGGCGAAGGAAGAGACGCAGACGCGGCAAAAGGACGAGTCGCAGCGCATACTGTAGCGGTTAGGCGTCAGGTTAAATAGAGTGTACCATACTACGTCTCATATCGCACAGCACGCGCTGCGACTCGTCCTTTGCCGCATCTGCGTCTCTTCCTTCGCCGCGCGACGGGCCTCTTGGGGGACACCCATCTTCTTTTGAGCAACTGGGAGCGCAGGAACTGGCCTCTGGACCTTTTTTGACGCCGATGCGATCCCTGCAATATTGCTGCCACTGTCTAGCTCCGCTCTCTCGTGGGGCGGAACAGGGAAGTATTACTAAGATAAGGGTCCTGTTAGTTCTACCTACACTCACACGGACCGGTTCGCCCTCTCACATGTTCTCTCACACCTCAACAAACAAATCATCTTTTGTTGATGCATTGAAAGAAGGGATCAAAAATCAGAGTTAGTCTCTGCACTCTTCGTGCTGCTCAATCTTGCAACAGATTCACTACAACCTTCACAGTGTAGGCAAGACATTCAGATGTTTGGCTAGTATTCGCATGGGCCGACGTTCCTCTTCGTACGATTGATTATAAGGAATGGGGTGGGATATTTATGAAGTTATTATGTTTACAATAAAAACAAGTTGAATCGAACTACTTTATTATTTAATATTATCCTGATAACGATGTTTATTCAAAATTGAACATTATTCTATGAGTTTGGTTTATATTTACTTGGAAGGGTGGTAGGTTAAACGAAGAATCGTACCTATGGTCAAACAGTGTTTTACTTTTTAGTCTTGGCTCTTTTTCGCTTCATGATCGAAACTTATAATTTCAAAAGTAAAGTAGATAGTAAGTGGGGGTGGCTGAGAGCCGAGATAGAGTCTGGGTGGGTAACAACGAGCAAATGGGCCTTCCGTCATGGGCCAACCCGTTCACTTTGGAACCGATATCATGGAGCGACGTTGACGATGTTCACCGCTCTCCGCAGCCGGCGCATTTCATCTCTCGCCACCCACGCGGACGTCACTCTCGGCCATTACTTCTCCGTCGTCGGCGTGGGCTTTTTCCAAGAACGTTTTTGACCCTGGCTTCCGTTTCGCTTCCGTTTTCTATAAGGTTAAACGAACACAGAACAATTGAGCGCTGCAAGGACGTCATGGTATTTTGCAAAACATGTGATCGGCAATTGATTGACAGCGAATTGAACTGCCAGGGAATAGCCCACAACACACGTGCGTGTTATCATAGCAATCACTGCGACAGCTTGAGACTGCTGGATCGAGTTAGCCTATAGGGATGTAATTCTAATTCTGAATCAGAAGAGACATGGAAAACTATTGATGATGGCTTGTTTTTTCACAGCTTTCAAGATCCATTTTCTTCAGTGTAGTTTTATACATTTCATTTTTCACACCTACTTTGTGCACCGCGTGCAAACACGACTCATGCACACTATACGCTATCACATTCCTTGCTACCTCTTTTTCTTCATAGTTCTTTACGCAATTTATTCCGTTTCGTGCCATCAATTTATTCCAACCCAATTTCTTTGTTTCGGTCATAGTTCTAAGCCTCACAAAAGAAGTCGTTCGGGGTGTGCCCCAGCTTTTTCAAAACGGTTTCTTTGCATGATATAGGGGCACATGCGGGAACCACAGAACCATGTTTAATTTTTCCTGAACGGCCCTCTGAATACCAGAAAAGGGGGTCCCTAGTTCGATTCCTCGTGGTGACAAATTTTTTGCATTTCGAGTTGACGTTCCAAAATTCGCGCAAAATGGGGTTAGCATGAATGATTTCAAAATTCGCGCAAAATGGAGTTAGCATGAATAATTAGTACC